CCCCCCCCCCCCCCCCCCCATCCTGTGCCATGTGGATCACTCCCCAGCAGAATCAGGGTGCCTGCTGGAGTTCCTCCCTTCACCTCGAGGGAGGGGTGCGGGCCCACAGTGACCTCTGGCTGTTCTCTTGTGCTCTTTCATTGTGTTTGTGTTGGGCAGTTCCCCAGTGCTCCTGTCTGACTGCTCGCTGGTGTTCAGTTTGCCATGAGGGTGTGATCACGGGCTGGGGCTCTGCAGGTGCCCGGGTTTCCCAGCCCTGTGAGAGGGCATTCCTGGCTGGCCTGGGAGTCTCTGCTCGCTGTCCCGCAGCTTGGGGGCACTTGGTGCCTCCCGGGTACTTTCCGCTCATCATAATTAGCAGCCCGCATCCAGCCGAAACTGCTTGTGGTGTACAGAGCTTGCAGCTGTAACCATGTTATTTCCTGGGAGATTTTGGGTGTCATGCTGGGTGACACACATACCCACCTGGGGATTGGTAGCCTTTAGCCCTGCCCCTGTGACTTACCATATTTTGGGCTTTGGTCCAGGTGGCCTTAAGGTGGGAAGGATGCGTGCCGGGCTGTGATTGGTTCCCTGCTCTGTCCCTCACTGTCTTGTATTGGGCTTAGAGCTCCTATTGGGCAACACCACACCGCATGATGTGTCATTACCCTCCCCCTGTGAGGAGGATGTACGCTGAGGGAATCGCGGGCCCCCCCGATCCCCGGCGTAGCAGAGGCAGAGCGGAACCATTTGAAATGCTGTCCCAATAGTTGTTTACCAGTGAAGTTTTGGGACTCGGCAAGGGGAGAAGGTGGCCCAGAACCGATCTGAGTGCTTGGCAGGGCCTCCGTGTCCTGGAGCTGAGTCTTGGAGGTCACTCCTGTCACCCGAGTTAGTCACGCTGCTGTGAATCAGACTGTGAGGGTTCGAGGGCAAGGGTAGCTCTTGTGCAAAAGCCTGTCACTCTGTTTCCTGGGAGAACAGGAGTTCAGAGAAAAGTCCCTTTCTTGCTGAGTATGAGATCTCACAGTAACCCCCCAAGGTTTTAATCACTTATTAAAATGTGGTCATTTCACCCCAAAGTGGGTGCATTGGCTCCTGCTACATGGCCAGGTCAGTTATAACCTCCCCAACCCCCCACCCCATCCCCGTGTGCAGGTTCACGAAGAACCTGTCCCCCGATAAGATCAACCTGAGCACGCTGAAGGGGGAGGGCCAGCTCTCCAACCTCGAGCTGGATGAGGAGGTTCTGCAGAACATGCTGGACTTGCCCACCTGGCTGGCCGTAACCCGCGTCTACTGCAACAAGGCTGCCATCCGGGTAAGGGGGGGGGGGGGTCGTCCTGCCAGCGAATGCCAGCAGCGAGCTGCTGTGTGATGGTGTTCTGAAGGCCACATTCCTCCTGTGCTGCCACAATACTGGCAAGCAATATGCTGCTGATTTCCTGTTCTATTATCTCCCTCAGATCCAGTGGACGAAGCTGAAGACCAACCCCATATGCCTGGTAAGATCTCCCGTCTGTGAGCACTATTCACAGGCGCGTGACTCTCTCCGTGCCCTTGACGCACCTGCCATGCCGGTCCCTGCTAAGCTCTGCTCCTTCCTGCAGTTTCTGGACAAGGTGGAGGTGGAGATGAGGACCTGTGAGGAGCCACGCTCCCCCAACGGCCCCTCCCCCATCGCCATCACCGCCGGGCAAAGGTCAGGGCAGCTGTGTGTGTTTAACGGACTTCGCCGGGACTTGGCGCAGTTACAGGCCTCGTGGGGCTCATGATGACTGCCTGTGTCCGCAGCGAGTACGGCTTTGCCGAGAAGGTGGTAGAGGGCATGTCCGTGGTGATCAACTCCATCACCATCAAGGTGCAGGCCCGCGCCTTCCACGCCTCCTTCGAGCTCTGGCAGCTGCAGGGCACCAGCCTCAACCCCAAGTGGCAGCGCAGCGACCTCCGCTACACCCGCATTACCGACCCCCGGAGGGGAGAGGTACTGACTGCTGCCCTGGCGGCAGGACCACCGAGCTATTTAGCGGCGTCTCCCGGTAGACTACAGTGTTCAGATCTCACAGAGATTGGGTCGTAAATGGGAACTGGGCTCCCATCGCGGAGGGGGGGCGCCCCTTGGGTTTAATCTAGGGCTGTGTTAAGTAGCAGATAGTCCACCTCCTCGCCTCACTCTCTGCATCCTTACCTACTTACTTACCCTAAACGGCCCCCATTAATGCGCGTGGCGCAAACCTCAGGATTGGGACAGATGAAGGACATCTCCGCAAGAGCCTGTATCCGTCTCACTGACCCGTGTGTGTGTGTGTGTGTGTGTGTGTGTGTGTGTGTGTGTGTTGGACCCCACAGGTGCTGACCTTCAAGGAGATTAATTGGCAGAGCCTGCGCATCGAAGCGGACGCCATGGAGAGCCAGGAGCAGGACCTGGGCAGCACCCCGCTGCGGCTCATCACTAACCAAGGCCGCATCCGCATCGCGCTTAAGCGGAGGGTACGGCTGCCCCCCCCACCACCATTTTGAAAGACCAGATGGATGAGAATCTGGGTTTCTTGGGCGAAAGCTGTGACCAGCCCTCTGAAGCCCAGACCTACCGACTCGCACTGCAGCACGTGTGACCCGTAGAGAAAGTTTTATCCTTGAACGGATGTCTGTCTAAATTTGGGCTTCTGGAGATCTGGGCACAGTGCATGATGGGACAGTGAAGGGCAGAGTCAGTAGTGGAAGGAGTGCCGTGAGTATCTGGGCAGTAGTGGAAGGAGTGCCGTGAGTATCTGGGCAGGGCTGACTGAGAGAAACACTGTTTTGTATTTAACTCTGTGCTGTACTCAGCTTTGTATGGTTAAAAGTGACATTAAAGACCTACTTGACTTGAGTAGTGGAAGGAGAGTCGCAAATAATTGGTCGGTATTAGAAGAAGAGTCGCGTGTACTTGGTTGGTAGCAGAAGGAGAGAGTTGCCAGTACCTGGTCAGTAGCGGATAGAGTGTCGTGAGTACCTGGTTGGTAGTGGAAGAGGAGAAACAAGTACCTGATTGGTAGCCGAAGGAGAGTCACAAGTACCTGGTCGATAGTGGAGGATGAGTTGCCAGTACCTGGTCAGTAGTGGAAGGAGAGTCAGTTGTTAATCAGTCCTATTATAATTTTGTCTCTGAGGCAGGTAATAGCAAGTTGGAGTCGCCAGGGGATGCTGTAGACTAGCAGAATGTAACCACCACTTTCTCTGCCAACACCCCCCCCCCCCCCAAGGTGAAGGACTGCAATGTGTTGGCTTCCAAGCTGCTCTTCATCCTGGACGACCTGCTGTGGGTGCTGACAGACTCTCAGCTCAAAGCTGTGATCCACTATGCCAAGTCCCTGAGCGAGGCCATGGACAAGTCTGCCCAGCAGAGGAAGAGCATGGCTGGGGAGTCACTGCAGGTGAGCGTGGGAGCCATCCTTATGACCCCGGGTTTATCTGCAAAACTAGTCGTCCGATAGGGAAACCCCCCTCCCAGGGTCTCAATGTAGCAGGAAGAATTCATTCACGGCTCTGCACCTACCTGCGGATCTGTATAACTTCAAGACTCGGATGTCGGTCAGGACTTCAGCTGGGAATTGATAGTGGAGAAATGCTGTGATGGTGGGCTTGCCAGGAGGGCTCAGTCAGATCCCATGGACAGGGCTGAAGTTGTGTCCCTCTGTGAATCTTTCATTCGGGCCTCAGCACCACCTAACACGTCATATGATCCTGGGGGCCTACAGGCATAGAGGAGCAGGGTCTGTTGCTGCTGAATTCTAACTCAGCCTCGCATGCCGCTCTGAACATGCTCCTGCTTCTCTGATTCTCTAGCTTATGGTCTCTGGAGGGTCGAAGAAATCATTCTGATAATGTTGTGTGGTGGCTTAATCTTGCTTGGATTCTCTGGGCCTCCCATCTGGAGGGGGTCCTAAAATTATCGCCCCCTTCTGTTTGGTTTGTTGAGGGTCACTTGACGTGAAAAAGGGAGTGGGGGAATATATTGATACCGGCCTCATTCAAAGCTCATAGGAGTTTTACTTGTGTAAAATTTTTCTGAGGGCAGAACAAAAATGATTGGTTATCTCTATCAACCAATCAGATTATAGAGGAGGTGGGGCCAAGACACATGATCGGTTACTTGGACTCACCACCTCGACAATTTGGTTGTTAGTCTGAATCATTTCTCCTGCCCCCAGAACCTTTTTGCGTAAGTAAAACTCCCAAGAGCTCATTGAAAATCATCAATTTAAGTGACGTAGAAGGAGAGGTTGGTGTGTGGAAGAGAAGCTTCCTGTTGTCTCTGTTTACAGGTCAGAAGGCAGCAGTTTGCCCGAAAGCGATGTACTGATTGATCGCTGGCGTCCTGTCTTTCTCAGGCCGCGCCCCCGTCACCGGTTGCCCACTCGTCCTGGGCTGAACCCGCGCCCCCTCCCAGCGGTGCCCCCAGTAACCTGAGCCAGTATTTTGAGCTCCATGACGTGAAGGAGTCTTCCTACCACACCTACATTTCCCGCCTGGACCTACACATCTGCAATGACAGCTCCACGCAGAGCTCGGGTTAGACTGCCTCCGCTTCTGGGTGCCCTGACTTACCAGTATCATTGTTCCCTACACACCTAGCGGTAATGATACTGCCTGCTGTAATTAGACCTTTGTCACTTACGGTAATGTGATGTTCGTATCAGGCGAGCCTGAAGGGAGCCTGACGTTCTTCTCCATTCGTACAGATGAGTCGCAGCCGCCGGGACCCCAAGGATCCATGCAGCTGACCTTCCGCAAGCTGGGCTTTGATTACTACCCCTTCCACCGGCCCGGTGAGCAGCAAAGGCCTTAGCCTGCTTGTCCTGGGCACTTCCTGCCTACCGCTCCAGCAGTAGCCTCTGCAGCAGAGGGGGCCGATAGCTGTGGGAACATGTTTAGGATGTGGAGTGGTCAGGACTGAGCTGGCGTTTCCCGTCACCGTGACGGCTCGCCGGTCACCTAAAGGTGTCGGACGTGTCATTTTGCTGGGGACGCAAATGGCCATTCAGATGACAACAGGTGCTTCCTGCAGCTTGGACCGGCTGTGTGTTTTAATCACTGCTGACCAGTGAATTTTTATCTGACTTCTCCTTTTCCAACTTGCCCCATGATGTCTTCCTCTACTGATGTCTGTCCCTCTCTCCACGCAGTGGATGGCAGCCGTCACTGGGAGCGTCACTGCGGCGCCATGGAGACCCAATCCCAGTGGGCCGACGGACTGCTGCAGGAGTTCCAGAGGCGGCTGGAGGCCTCGGGCATCCCCGGGGGGCACTCGGAGTCTCTCCCCATTAGGAGAACCCAGGGTAGGAGACCCATGTCATGACGATCTAAACCAGGGGTGTCCAATCTTATCCGCAAAGGGCCGGTGTGTATGCAGGTTTTTGGGATAACCTGTAGGTCAGTTGTTCAAACCCAGGTGTGAGGACTCTTCAGCCAATCAGTCCTCTAATTAGTAATCTAATTAGGGAGTTGCAGCGAAAACCCGCATACACACCGGCCCTTTGCGGATAAGATTGGCCACCCCTTATCTAAACCAACCTGCCAGTTTTAAAGCTTCCTCAAAATTTCACTGTTTTTGTCTTGCAAGTCCAGTCATACGGTTTCTTCCTGAAAGCATTTCTGTGGTTCTGCTCTGTCGAGAGGTGAGGCCGCAGCTGTGAGGTTCGGGGGCTGACGGTTCCTCTTTCTATCTGACGCAGAGGGTGAACCCAGCCCCAAATCCAGCCCCCCCGAGCGAGGACATGGCGCCCGCCATGGATCGAGCCCTTGGAAGAGGCTGCGCTCCAGCTGCGTGGTCGTGCGTGTTGATGACCTGGACGTCCATCAGGTGTGAGATCACAGCCCTACACATGTCCAGCCGGCCGTCTCTGGGGTGGCATGGAGAGCACTTTGCACTCTGTACATCCCATGTGACCTCTGACGCCATCCGCTGGGGGTGATGAGGCAAGGGTGAGAGAGCTGAGTGCCATGCCTCTGATGGCCCCAACCCTGCCAGGGTGCGAGGGGGTTGATCTGGCTCCTTCTCTATCAGTGATTCGTGGGCTCCCTGTTCAGAGCAGGATCCCCACCTACCGTCTCTGTAATCTTTATACATGTTTGCGTTTTTGCATTTTTCACATCAGATCCCCATCTGTTACTATACAGGTGTCCACTGGAGGGCGCCACAGTAAGAAGACTCAGTCGTTCTTGTCCTGCAACCGGAAGGCCCTGCATCTGGACGACAGTGTGCCTGCCTTTTACGGACAGTTCACTGAATACTACTTTCCCGAGAGCCCCGGGCTCCCCGGTGAGTTAAAGATGGCCGCCGCTTTCCTGCATTGTTCCTCTTTGCCTGTGGGGGTGCAACTAATCAAATATAGTCTCATCTGTGAGATAAAGATGTATCAGTGCAGTTGATAATCAGAGTAAAATTAATTATCTGCCTCTAGAAGAGACTCGGGTGGGTCAGTGACCAGTACTTGTGGTATATTTACATGCTCTCCAGCTTCCTCTGGCCGGGTTGTTGGGTAGATTTGCTGTGTTCACCATTCTCATGCTAGTTTATATCTTAAACTCTGTAAGGTCACTTGTATGATTTTCAGTGCTCTCTGCAGGACTTAAGATAAATGTTTAGAAAGTACCACTTACTAAACCCAATCGATGACCCAGCACGACCTTGTCTCTCTCTTTCTCTCTTGTTCTTTCTCTCTCTGTCTCCCTCTCTCTCTCTCACTGTCTCTCTCCATCTTTCTCTCTCTCTCCTCTCTCCCTGTCTCTTTCTTTCTTGCTCTTTCTCTCTCCCTCCCTTTCCTTCTCTCTCTCGCTCTCTCTCTCTCCCTCTCTCTTTTTCTCTCTCTCTCTCTCACTGTCTCTCGATCTCTCTCTGCCGGCTCAGTACCCTGCTCTAGCCTGTTCGCTCAGCTGAACGGCGTGCAGCTCTGTTTGGACCCGGCCAGTGTGCTGTGGATGAACCTTTTCTCCCAGGGCCTGCTGTCCACGCTGGAGCAGGTAAAGGCCTTTTATCACCTACAGGACAGCGGCAAGGGGGAGGAGCATGTGGAAGCCAGGATGGACGCCGCCCAGCTCAAGGTGGGCTCCCAACATTAAAAACGTTGGCAATGTTTGCCGGATGTGCTGGGTTTGGTCATCGTGGCGAGATGCGCAGTGAACGTTAACATGCAGTGCCGTGCAAAAGACTTAGCCAGTCAAAAGAAATGTTTAAAGCTATTTATCTGGGTAGTAAGTGAACCTTTGCTTAGAACAAAAAAACACAATTTAACATTAGAACATATGCAAGTTAAGAATAACACAATACAACTAGCAAAACTTTCTTCTGTTCTCCAAAAAGTTACTGATATCGAGTTGGATGGCTTCAGTTCCCAAACCTCTCCTCAGGGGCACCTCAGTCATTCCATGTATTTATTACATTTCACCACTAGTTCACTTAATTAATTAATGTCATTAGTTAAATAATGCGATGAGATATTGATTAGCCATACGAGGTGTACTAGTCAGAAACTACATGGGTGTGTTGGATGGGGGCTGCAATCCCTGGGGTGACTTTAGCAGAGGGTTTGAAATGGCGAAGCTGACACACTTTGATCACAGTTTTACACCAACATCATTTTGTGTGGCTGCCTAATACTTTTGCACATTACTGCACCCGATGAAGATTATTATACACAGCTGTCATTGTGGATGATGACTGCTCCGGCGATTGCAGCTCAGAATAGAAAAGAATACAGTGCCCCTTCACGTACACAACGGGTGCAATGAAATGCAGTATGCCGTGAAATGCAGTGAAGTATGAAATGCCTCTCCCTCTCTCCCCTTGTCTGTGCCCGTGGCTGCAGGTGATCATTCCCCTGGAGACTTCCATCCTGGACCATCCCGACCGCCCCCAGTCCCTGAGCATAAGCTTCCCCCACCTGGTGATGAGTAACACGCGGCACTCCCCCCACGGGTCCCGAGCCGACCTCCATGCCACCTACCGCTCTTTCTCCTCCTGCCCGTTCTTTCAGCCCCCGCCGCCCTGTCCCTTTCCACGGGACCGGAGTACCTTCCACCCCCTGCCCCCCACCTTCCTCCGCCACTCCGCCGAGACGGGGCCGCTCCTCGTGGAGGCCAAGCCGGCGCGATCCCGGGACATCTGGGCCATCAGCTTGTCCCAGCTGGCTCTGAGCTTCGAGGGGTCCCGCCGGGGCCTCAAGGGGAAGCCCCTGCCCTTCCTGGAGCCCTTCTCCATGTCCATCTGGATGTGCCGTCCCTCTGCCTTTGAGAACGACCCACCTCGATCTCTGCCCTTCGCCAACTACAATCTCAGACCATCAGACAGCTACGAGCACTCCTCAGAGGTGCTGGGGCACCCCCCAAAATCCCAGACAGACTGCGATCTGCTCCAGGGGGATGAGGCCAGGGCGGAGCTGCCTATGGCCTCGGTCCACATCCTGGCCCAGGCCACATCTCCCATCAAGCTGTGGCTCAACCACTACCAGTACATTGCGCTGTTGCGCATGAAGGACACCCTGGGCAGGCTGGGGGCAGAGCTGTCTCGGGATGCCATGCGGGTAGGAGGTAAGAAGGCAGAGTCTCTGACGGTGTGTGTCGCGCTCCTGATGGAAGTCGTTGAGGTGGGACTGCTGCTCCCCCCTGTCATCAGGGAGTCTGAGGCGGAGCCACGGTCCCCCGAGGAGACCGACAGCCCCAGCCTCACAGACTCGGAGCGCTCTCCATCCCAGACACCGCATATGGAGATTCTGGAGGACAGCGGCATTGGAAATGGCCCAGCGGCTCCTGGAAGGGATGTGGATGGCCCAGTAGAGGAGGCGTGTGAGGCTCTGGAGGAGGTAGGGGAGGAGAAGGAGGAGTGCCAGGTGGTGCGGGACCCATCCTCTCCTTCGTTCTCGCCTGGACACCAGCCGTCGCTCTCCCGGAAAGGTTCTTCCTTCAGCCTGGAAGGGGAGCTCTCCAGTGCGCTGACTGCCACCAAGGATGCCACTAGGGATGCACTGAGCGCCTCGCTGGACCTCACCAAGGGGGCATTCTCCATCACCAAGGATGCCTTCAGCCTACTGAGCCGAGGCTCGGCCGTCAGCAAGATGCTCTTCACCCCGCAGATGAAGTGAGTCTGCCCTCGGCCCAGAGCTGGTCACCATTTAGGATGCGCCAAGGCGAGGGGGGGGGGGTCGGGAGCCTAGCGAATCGCACAGACCTTTTGATAGAAAACTTTTTAGATGCAGATCAGGGGCTGGCTGCTTCGACTTGCTCACACAGCCTCTCCAGATCTTCAGACTCCCAGTGCAGCAGTACTGTTGAGAAAGGCACTGACCTAGAAAGGCCCAGAAGATGTTAGCATGCAAGTCTGCTAAAGCCTGAGCAGGAAAGGGAGTTGGTCAGATAATTTGGGTTTAGCTCAAGGCTGGTCTGTTTTCAAAACAGACCAGCCTTGAGCAACAGGATAAGCTGGACAGATTAGGCACACCTATGGCTCAGTCCTGCTCTGTGTGGCAATCCTGTAAGGAACAGAATTTGTTTTGTGTTTGTTTACTGCTGTGAACTAAGAGTATTTGACAACCAGAGGTGGATGGTTCATGGTTTGAGGTGGGACTGCCAAGATTTTATTTCAACCAACCAGTTGAGTACTCTGTAACTGTGACTCTTGATACTGAACTGGTTGGTTGAAATAAAACCTTGGTCTGGATTTTTACTTTTGGGATCTGAACTTTCCACCTATGGTAACAACACAATGTAACATCTAGCCTGCATATCTGTGTACTTTCTGAATAGTATATCCGAAATTTAACCATTCCTTCTGGGTTGTGCAGGGACCAGAACCAACGCAGCGAGGAGGCCCCCTTCTCCATCCCCGGGGCTCTACGTCTCACACCCATACGGCAGTCCCCCTCCCAGCATTCCTTGGACAGCGCCATCCTGGATGGCAGCTTGCCCGAAGATCGGTTCTCCCTGGACAGTGACACCAGCGAGAACCTCACCGTCCACGTGGATTCCGGTACGAGCACAAACCCTACGGCGTAAGTGTGTGTGTGTGAGGCCTCCCTGGAAGTGGTGTCAGCACTGGGAGACGAAGGTAAACCAGTCCTAGTATGTGCTGAGCTAACTGAAGCCACTGGTGCCAATGTAATGTAAGATTACACAGCCAACATCTGGCGAAGTCACACTCAAGAGAGAACGCAGGTTAGACAGATGTCTGGTTGGCTGGGTGTCTGTTGTCCGGACACTTGGGTAGCTGGATTTCTGCATTTCTGAACATCTCATTCGTCAATTGTCAGTCCATATGGTTAGTTGGTTGAAAAAATGTCTGGATATCTGGTTGGCCAGGTGTGTGGTTGACACAATGGTGTCTTTTTAGCCAGATGTTTGGTTGGCTGAGTATCTGGTTGGCTGTTTGTCCGAATGTCTGGTTAGACGGATGTCTGATTAGCCTCACGTCCAGAAGTCTGATTAGTTGACTGTCAAAATGTCTGGTTAGCCAGTTACCTGAATGCCTGCTTAGCTGGATTTCCAGATGTCTGGATGTCTCATTAGTGAGCTGTCACACACACACACACACATACATATATAATCTGATTGCCTTTCTGCAGTTTACATTGTGGACTGACTATAATTGTATTTCTGTGACGAACACAAGATGTCTTCCATCAGTGGTGGAACATAAGGTGAGCTGAATCCCAGAGAGACGTGCACAGGAGTGATACCAATCCATCCGTTCCCCTCTTTCAGAGTCCGGCTTGGAGTCTATGCGCCCAGAAAGTATCCCCGGTGCTCCCACAGACCCGGCCTACCGCGGGAATGCCACGCCTGGGAATGAGGGGGGATCCTCCGCTGACCTGAGCAGCTCGCTGTCACAGAGCACCGAGGACATTGCCCAAGACACGGTCAGCTTCTGCTCTCCACATCAGAGAGACACACACGTTCTGTAGCTGTCAGGCCAGCACAGGAATACGGTACAGTGCTACATCGGCTGTACCATACATTCTTCACGTCGAGCAGTGAATGAGGAGTCATTGACGCCACAAGGGAGAACCAGATGTTCTTCTAGAAATGTAGCAGCCACCAGCACCAGTAAATATCTTCAGTGTAAAAAGTCAAAAAGTGCTTATTACTTATAAAGTGTTGTACACAGAGGTGATTTTAAGGTGCAGATGAGGAGCGGAAACAGACGTGTGTGTGTGTGTGTGTGTGTGTGTGAGGTGACAGTGGTACCGGTCTGGGTCAGAGAGGGTCGCATGGTGACTCGGGGTGGGGCTGCCTCTCCTGTGCAGGCCGCAGTGCTGCTGTTGCAGCTGTCTTCCTTTGGCTGCTCCATGGACATGAAGGGTGATGACCTGGTGGTGGCACTGGATGCACAGACCCTCACGACCCAGCAGCTGGGCAACCAGAAGCTCTCCGAGTTGCTGGGTAAGACTCACATCATCACCATCATCACAGAGTGCTGCTAACAGACCGCGGCCCATCGGGTCGCATCGACTGACGGCCCAGTGTAACCCTGTCCGACATGGCTTTCAAGTTTTTCCGCCTGTCAATCCTAAATGCCACTCTCTCTCGCTGCACAGTAATACAGCATTAATACAGTATCACAGTGTAATCCTAGCACCAGTAGCATACCATCTGGAAGCTGTTACAGTGCAATAAGAGAACCGTAACGTAAAAATCTTGACTCTGGTGCAGTGCGATCCGAGTATCAGTAACATAAGATCAGAACACTAGTGCGGTGCGATCTGAGTATCAGTAATGTAAGATCGGGATACTGATGCAGTGTGATCTGAGTGTCGAAAACGTAAGATCGGGACACTGGTACAATGTTATCCGAGTGTCGATAACGTAAGATCGAGACGCTGATGCAGTGTGATCCGAGTGT